ATATTTTATTAAACAACCTCAGTCCACAGTTATCAGATGTAATCTAAAAACATCATCATCAAGTAATGCCAGTATATAACAAAAACTCCATAACTCACTGCTTCAGAGTATTATGATATAAATGTATAAAGAGCTCTCAAGATACGAGATGGAAATATAAATGTTATATGTACTATATTTGCCACATATAAGTAACGTCTTCAATATTATTTAATACACTTGTCATTTGCAGATGTAATGATACTATAAATTGCATTCATTATGTTAGTCAGTTTTATCATTATCGTCATTGTGTTAGTCTACTATTGGACACAGACCTTCTTATTTGGGAAAGGATGTACACCTAACATAATTAGTCGGTGTGGTATTTAAAAAATATTTTATACATTTTTTTTAAGTAAATGAATAAAAAGATATTATACCAACTCAAGTGGAATAAGATACTTAAAGACCTTTGAGAAATATTATGTAAATTGAAATTGTGAGATTTTTCATAAAGATTTTAGTTTGTTCTGATAAATATTTTTCCTTGTTTAGTTTTTATTCATATTTAAGATTTCGTCAATATCTTGACTATCATAATATACAAATGTTAGTAAAAATACATAATTTATTAAGAACACTAAATCGTAAGCAATATTCATAACATTTTAAAAAATGTATTATACAAAAATTAGTAAATAATTTCTGGTCTACTTTCTACAGGACTGTTGCTCGTGAGATTTATTGCTTATTTATTGGTTTAATACAACATAATATATTGTCAAAATTGAATTAAATTCAGTCATAATTTTGATGTATCGTTATTCCAAAATATGTGTACAGGGTGTGCTGTTTTATGTACCGTGACAGAGATCTTCACTCAACGCCGCGAACGTGTTTTATTGCGAGTTAATTAAAAGATTTATGACATAAAAGTCCTCCCAAAATCGAGTTTATTGCCGCAATAAAAATACAAGGACACGGATGCTCAAAGGAAAAAACACCAAAGAAATCTTTTTGTATGAAAATTATTACCTTGCTATAAAATTATTCACAAATAAACACACATCACTACCACTGATATATATATATCTCACATACACAAATTTCACAGTATGTTTATAGTTTTATTCTGTCAACATTTATTTCAGTTTCAGCGCCTTGCAGGCGTAAATTGCAACGTGACAGCGCCCCTCGTAGCGTGCGCTACGGGTTACGAACGCGCTACGACTGCCGTAGACCCCACCCCTCACCGCGCTCCGGCTGTATAAAACAAGCGCAATGGTAAATCATCTTTTATATTAAATTCATGAAATATTATTATTCCAATATACGTCACAAAGGGTCGAAATTTAATGAAAAATCAGTTAGAATTTTTTTTTAACTATATTAAACTTGGATGTTCTTTAAACCAATTGTTGTATAAAAAAATCTATTCTTCATATTTTTATAAACAAATAACTAATATAACGTATCTGAATAAAAATAATACCTGATGAAATTGACTTGAAAAGATGTTGATGAAAAAAAAAATATTTTTTTCATAACAACAACCAAAATTATAATCATGTTTCATCCGTCGATAAATTATCATTATCTCTGTAACTACAAAGGCAAAGATAGAGATGAGATTATGTTTTTGTTTAATTATAACAACAGTGAAAACTCACGGTAAGATTGTAAAAGTCATTAACCCCAACGTTCTATGTACACTTAATATAACAGTATCAAGTTACCCGAATGTAAATCAGACAGGTTGATTAAGAAACATAAATAATTTTAATGATATTATTTCCTTCAACTTTTTATTGCACTTAAGCAGGGTACTTAATGTTGCCAAAATTTATTACCTAAATCTAATTAACATTTTGTTTATTACATCTGGCTTGAAATTAACCTAAATTTATACATTTACCACAAAGATTATTAAAACCATTTTGGCATGAAATGTGAAAATATGGAATGAGTTTAATTTTTATGAAGAATGTTAAGAACATGTTTCTAATCGTCCCGCAGACCTAATTTAGCCCTCTTTCCCTTCCCACCCATCTTCTTATAAAGAAAGGATTTGAAGTGGAAGTAGATATTCCAGATGAAAGGATGCAAGGAAAGGGAAGATGTTTTCTTTCTGTGCATTCTCTCGTCCGTCGATTAAAGGTAGGCAACGCATATGCAATCGCGTATGTCTATGGGCAACGTTCACTTCGCTATTTCAGTGATTTGAGGTGGCCGCTCGCTCGTTTGCCACCTTATGATATAAAAAAAATACTTTTTTAAATTAATTATCAATAATTAAATTGTTCGAAAACTATCGATAGCATCAATTTTAAGGCTTTATCAATGAGTATTGTAAAGTTATTACATGAAGATACCCTAGACGAATATATCAGCACGTTCTCTTTATTTAGGACTAAACAACACTTATACAGCGATATGCTTCAAAACAAATACAAGATAAAAATAAGGCCATGAAAAACGAAATTATAATAATTACTATTACAAACTCTTTCTCTCTCTTTCTGTTCCTTTACGTAATTAATCCAATCGTAATAAAATTATCGTATAAAAATGTAGGACTCAATTTGGACTCTTCATATGTTTGCTGTCATGGCCCGACATTAAAAGCAGAGCCTAAGATACAGCTTAATAGAGGCGCACTGTGGACTCCTGTGTGTCCTCTTCCCCACTTAGGGGATATAGTGTGAGCGATTAAAATTTAGGAATAAGATTACTAGATCTCATATTACCAACTAATACTTGTAATATAGATTAAAAACATTTACCTGACGTTCCAAGTATTACTTTAAAGTACTTAAATTTACATTTTAATTAAGATAAAACAAAGTAGTTAAGATAAAGCACCATAGCTTGCTTTAAATATAAATCCATTATTACTCGTAAGAACATTTAGTGAACAAACTGCCGGCCCAATAAATCTCATCCAGTTTTTGTGTAAGCGAGCGAGCGAAAATTATCCTCACTAAAGGAAACTTGGGGCCAAGAGTGGAAAAGCTTCCGGACCATTCTTCATTATTTTATCTACAGTCTTATAACGAGAGAAGGTGTTTGTTCTTAGTTTATATAAGTTAAAGTAAACATTGTCTTTAGTTTGAGTAGACAGTGATGTTCATTTGTTAGTAGTTCAACATATATTCAATAGAATATAACTATTCGTTTAAAACCCATAAGTAATCTTACAAGTATTAGCCAGGTTTCTTAGGCAAATGCAATTGCATTCTAATTTACTATTTCTAATCTATTTAAATAAAAACGGCTAAACACTCACGTAAATACGTCCGGTGTCAGTGAACGACGGGCCACGTCCGCGAAATAATACCAGTCCCACTCACCCAGAAGAAGGACCCTCGATGGGCTCGAAACTAGCCGGTGCCGCCACCGGATGAATATACGTGAGTGTTTAGCAGTTTTATATAAGTTTATTATAATGTCTCACGAAAGTTTGAATAATTTAACCTAATCTACAATTAAACATGTCTATCTAATCTACAAGAAAACTATGCGCCCATGACCGTTTTATGTAAGAACACAATGGTATTTATTATTGTTAAGATGAAAGGCCTTTTTTATTATATTTCGTAGACTTTTGCAAGATTTATTTCTGTGACATTGTCAATGTTATGTCCACTGAATCGGAAGTTATAAGAGAAGATAAAATGGCGTCGGTAAAATCATTGATATAAACATAAATAAAACCGTAAAAAAATACTGTTATACCAATTTCGACGGTTACAACAAAAGTATATTGCTGTCTCTTTTTATCGCTCAGTTCTCACGGTTCAACCACTTCAGTTGTTTAAGTCATAAGCGAAAGCATAATAATTTTGTGTTCACTAGAATAAGATCCCAGTACATCAGAGTGGCAACTTAAATAAGGAAACTCAGTAAAATTTTATCGATTAGTTTTAAATTAGTATTTAAAAATTTACTACTGTATCAAGGAATACCCGTACAAACTATTAAATCAGTGCATTTTTCTTACTATCTTTAGATACTCATAAAGTTATCCCTAATCAAATACTAATACATATCTATCATATTAAATCAAAAGAACTAATCTATCTTAATCGGAATTATCGCAAAAGTAATTGTTAACTATATATTAAATTAAATAATGACAATATAATTTATCTCTTTTAACTTGGACCATACGCAAAAGATGCTATTATTACGCATGCGCAATGAACGATGCCCGGGAAGCAAAAAGCCGTGACTTGCGTATTGCCAAATTTTTTGCGGTGGTTAATTACGCCTTCGCGAAACTTTGAACACTTCTATAATAACAGCTCTTTGACTGTAACAAACTACTTCATTGTTCATTATTGAGCAACTGATGGTTCTTTTGTTTATTATCTTGTGAAATATCCTAACTAAAGTGTTATGAAAGGATTTGTATACCAAAAATTAAGCTGCTTGTTCATGTTATTATTCTATAACTAGCGGTCGCTCGCGACTCCGTCCGCAAGGAATTAAAAAAAAATAAGTAGTAGCCTATGTGTTCTAAATGCATGCAAAATTTTAGCGAGATCCGTTTAGCCGTTCTGGAGATACCTTCTAACAAACATCCATCCGTCCATCAAAATATTCACATTTATAATATTACTAAGTTATTTAAGGAGGAAGAAAGGATATTGTAGAGGATGGCGGCGAGGAGGAGAGAAATAAAAGGCAGGATTTGAATAGGCGCGCACTGTTCGCAGTCCGACGGCTGAATTCGACTGATCTGTGTGCCGACTACCTTGCAACATCTTTATTTATTTTATTCAAAAGTTACCAATAGTTTTTACATCTACCTTAGTAATAATCAGTAGTTTACAGATAATAAAATGGTACGTTATGGTACGAATACAGAGTGCAAATATATTAAATACGCATAGAAATATAATAAAATAACACAAAGTCGATAAACTTAAATAATTAACAAATTATCGCAGAAGGCTTTGACATTCTATCGTCAACACCGCCCCCTAGTGCTGACTCGTCAGCACTACATCAATGTGCTATCGACCTATCATCCAGACAGGCGACCCGAGCGACCAGGTGCCAGACCTAATCCGACTAGTGCCGCACTCACTGCGCCATGTCTAAAGACGATCAGAAATTCCCTACTGTTATCTTATAAAGCTTAAATAATTTCAATATAAATACAATAAAATTACAAAAGGATTCAATTGTGATCAGGTTAGTTAGTTTGCCTTCTTACCTCGGTCAGTCGTAGGTTCATAGCGCAAACCCTGGGCGCCAAGCTGTGCTGACATCCGTCAGCGTCGGGAGTGCGCTCGCCATAAGTGCAGCTAACAGTGCTGCTGGGGTTCTGACCGATGTGGTAAACAAACATAATACCTTACCATCAACACGTTGGAACGCCAGTACATAACAGCTACATATGCTTCTAACAAAGCATCGCAAAAAGTGCGTTTATGTGTTGATAATTACACCAGGACCACCTGATTTAAGTGAAAATAAAAGTAATATTACACTGGTCTGCAAAAACATCTTTGTTCACTCCTTTAAGTTTGATACTAAATTATTTTAGATAAGGTGTTTCAACACTAAAGTATAACACGGAGACAAAACAAAACAGCAAGTATATTTTATTAATTAAATTGAGTTAACCAAATAGTTTAATTAGCCTTGAACAATACATTTCGGATCATGATTAATGTCAAATAAGGTTCTTGTAATTAATTTAAAGAGCGAGATAAAGTGTATGAAAATTAAGAAAAATGCACGGAAACAAATCTCGACTGATTTGGTAAAAATAACTAACAGTTGTTGTTATCTATGCTCCGTTACATATTACACTTGGCAAATACTGAACTGGAAAGAAATGTGCAAGTGAATATGAATTACTACTCTAAATCACATCAACTGTCAAAACAACAAATAATTTGTGGTTGCTTTTTACTTTCCCTACCACTCGCTAAAACCTATTTATACGTGTCCAGGCTATTTTATAATTTTGGAAATAAACTTTTATTCCAGAATTACAAAAATCCGAAAAATTGTGTTTTTTAATATCATTGAAAACTCTAAACGTGTTACAAATCTAGTAAAGGAGGATCTTTGTGCAGACCAGACAAACACTCACCAGTGCCATGTTGACTCATGACTAATATTGAAAATTATTACAAAAAACAAATTTGTTCAAAAAATTTTAAACTTCAAAGTAATACTTTAACAAACAAAATAATGTATTATCACAACAAACGGACTGTACCAAATTCCAGACAAATCTGTATACGGGAAGTAGGTCTAATTTAATTTTTTTAGATTATGACCCAAGCAAACAAAACAAGTTTAATAAAACTGTATGACAAGGTAATATCAAAGTAATCTATTCACTGAACTTGTTTAATTACTTCAAAACAATTAGCTGTAGTCGGCAATCTCAATTATTCTAATCAAGTGACAAATAAATAAAAAAATAATTTATCAGCTTACTATTCGTCTCCATTGAGGATCTCAGAACCTACCCTAAGTTAGGGGTGACAATGTAATTAATTAAACACGTGAAGAATTAAGAAACTAATAAATATTTAGTGTTAGGAATAAAAATCCTTTACTGTGACGGTGCATCAGCGCAACGCTCGCCTTATCAACTATCAACGTTTACGTCTTCTAACTAATCAATCTGACATTTGGGTGGGCAACGAAAGTGCGCCATTCGCGCCAAATGATTCTAATAATTTTTAAAACTAGCAAATCACTTGTTCGTAAGATATGTTCTTTAAATCTTACGGCATTCGACTCATTCACTGTGCTTAGTTTGTAAGCTAAAATGATACAACTTATCAGCAAAAATATTAAAGGCTAAATATTAATCACAAAAATATTAAATTGAAAATAATTTTCAATCAAGTTAATTAAAGACGTCGCCAAACCAAATATGTAAATATTTCATTTTAAGAAATTATTCTTTAACACATTACGGCCTACGGAAGTGCATTCTAATGCATCAATAACTTTAAGTTCCAGAAATCCCGAATGCTAAGTTATAAAAATAAACATCATGCAAAAACTAAACTGTTCGTTGACATAGCTTATGTCGTTGTAAAATCACTCTAAGAAAGAACATTAATCAAAGATGAGAATTATCCAGAAAACTAATAACACACAATAAGTCGTTCGTAAGATTAAAATCTTTACGGCTTTAGGATAAACTTGTATCAATTTAATTTCTCTAAATATTAAGATTCAAAGTTAAAGATAAAATATAAAACATTCATTAAAAAATAAAAATTGGTTCGACATGTCACTTATGTCGCTCTCAGTTCATGCGTACAATACATGACTACCGCATAACATTAAATAGAAAAAACCAACAAAATTAAAACAACAAAGTAAAGTGAAACACTGACCTTATTTATCAGCTGCGTCGCTTTTCGTTTCTCTGCTGTACCTCTCTGCATAACCACTGCTGTATGTGCTAAAGTAATTGTTAGATAACATTCTAGTTAACAAATCATCATCAAAACATACAGTTAAAATGTTAAATTTACAAACTTACACATTAAGAAAATAGTAATTTACAGTATCGTGCTCACAACAATGAGCTTTACTTAAAGTGCCATAAGGATGACATTCCAATAGATTCTTAACAATAAGATTTTTTTCATAACTTGTTTACATGAATTTGCATAATCGATGTGCTCGCCATTGTATTGAATGAGCGAACGAGTGAGCGACAAATGATTAACTTGGAGAGTGAGTGCGACCGCAGTATTAATTAACAGTAACGTTTATGTTAAGACACATAAGGTACATTTTGTTCCAAAATTATTTGCATAATGCAATGCAATTTGTAGGAATGCAATCTTTGTCTATAACATACATGTTTACGTTCATGAAGTATAAAACTATGTACCAAAACATTTGAAATAAAATTAGCAACGGTTAATTTAGCATTTTTGAAAATAAGATGTTAAAATAAAAACTTAAAAATAATTAAACCGAATACAAATGCAAATTATTAAAACTATAACACGTTTACAAAATTATTTTTCCGAAATTTTATTTTGTTCGCTTTGTACATTTTAATAATTAACGAAATACCTAATGACACTCTTATTACTTTTGACCAAATTAAATAGTACATTTTATTATGTTGCTTACGCGCTGCCATGTGGTCCAATGTGACCTGCGTGTGTGCTGACGACTGTGCTCGTCGGCGGGAACCACGACGGCGCGGGCGGCTGCGGCTGGGTGTCTTCGTACGCGGCGGCTGGCATGCGCGCTGCTGTGTTGCACGCATCATGCTCTGCATCATTCTTAGGGACATCGTGCGATAAAATATTTCAATAACGGCCATTTTTGTATCACCTTTATTTAACTTCCATTTTTGAAATGGTTCTTTGTAATCAATTTTAAAATCTGACCGTTTATTATAACGGCTGCTGTTATTCTGTAGGTCTGTACCAGGGGTGATTGCCAGGCAGGTTAGGTTACTGACCTCTCGTGATGTGCAGGGCTGACTCATCGTCTCCTTCTGTCCGTGCGTCAGATCTTGATTTTGTGACGTGTCATCATGGGGTAGCGGTTCGGTGCTAATGAGCGTTGGAATGTTCCGAGCCTGATGCTCGAAGGCTGCCGAAGTCTCAACTTGGCTGTTCTCCAACCACTCCCTATTACTGCTACTTAGGTTTTCTTGCTCATGTGACAACTCTGGTTCTTGTGCCACGTGTTCATGAGGTAACCGATCGGTGCTAATGAGCGTCGAATGGTTCCGAGCTCGTGGCTCGAATGCTGCCGAAGTCTGCACTTGGCT